GGCTTTAAACTGAAAGAGGGCAGATTTAGATTAGATATAAGGAAGAAATTCTTCACTCAGAGGGTGGTGAGGTACTGGAACAGGTTGCCCAGAGAAGTTGTGGATGTCCCACCCCTGGAAGTGTTCAAGGCCAGGTTGGACGAGTCTTTGAGCTACCTGATCTAGGGAAAGGTGTCCCTGCCCATGGCAGGGAGGTTGGAACTAGATAATCCTTAAGGACTCTTCCAACCCGAAGCATTCTATGATTCTATGAAGTCCTCCAGAGTCATAGTGTGATGGATGCAAAATCTTGACTGTAGGACAAAAAGCTCCAAGAAACTGTAGGATGGGAAAAACGGTTGAGCAAAATAAATTGTCTTTTGGCTAACTGAGAAGCCCTGCTGCTGGCAGAGGCAAGTAAGAAGTGTCTGAGAACACCGTGTAACTGCACCAAGGAGTGAGAGAGCAGCTCACAAATGCCAACAATGGAGGCAAAGGTGAATGCGTGAGGTGTTCTCTGCAAAGTTGGAAAGCTGGACTAGAACAAGAGAGTTGTGAGAAGATGGAGAACATTTCTGATCCCTTTTGGAAAGACTCGAAGTTTGTCACATGGCAACCTAAAAATCTGCCTTTGCTCATTGAGGCCTTCATCAGCAATTATTTTGTTTAAGGTCAAACACAGAATCCTAGAGAGCTATCTGCCTGCCGCTTTCCTAAAGTTAACGTCTCTAAAATGATAAACTGAGTTCAGTGGGCGAGTTGAAGTACCTTCTCAGGCAGTCTCTCCTGCTCTTCCAGATCTCTTGAAGTCTCTCTTTTACTAATTCCTGCTCTCTTTCATTTACTTGCATGACAACCAAGCACCCTCCTATCTCTTCTTCCAATCCCTCTCATGGATTTACCGCCTCCTGCACATGGACAACCCAACCCAATGACTGAAGCTGTTTGAGGCATGAAGAGCAGAACAGAACAGGCAACTCCAGTCCAACAGAGTCATTCCAGTTGCAGGGAGAGTGTCCCAGCACCTGGGCTGGGAAAACAACCATTGGGAAGGAGGGAAGCAGCCAGGGATAGTCCCTCTACCCAGCCCATCGTGGGTCCTCCACAGGATGCTGAACACCCCCGGGCCAGCCTGTGCCACACTCCTCCCTTTGACTCCCTAACTTTAAGATAGGTCTTTGAAAGAGATCTGTGGCTGGGTGAATTTTGTTGTTGTTGTTCTTGGGGGAGAATGAATCAAGATGCTTCTAAAATCATGATTTAACAGCTGCTGCCTGACTGTGGTCCTAACTCTGCTCAAAAGGGACTGGAGCACAGAAACAAAATGGAAAAGGCTATTTTTTTCCTTAGATGCTTATAAATATCACCTCATGCTCACAGCTTTCTGTGGCTGACATAATCTTTGCAGTGCACCACGAAGCTCAGAGCAGTGAGGATCTCCAAGAGCTTCACTCTCAGGGGATACTGAGCAAACTCATGAATTTAGGCAAAAGCACATAATTTTAAGATGGAGCCTGCCAAGTTTATAAACAGCATTTTACAGCGTGCTTGCCTGCAATAGATCTGGATTTGGAGACTCAGGAGGCCACTGCCAGCCCCGTATTTCTCACGAAATGCAAGACAAAACCCCTTATTTACCTTTTTTTATAGCTGTACGAGCAGTCAGACCTCTGGCACCTTCTGCAACACGCACGGTGAATCTTGGGTCTCCCTCCTGAACACCTTCAGCCAGGAGGAAGAAGAAACTCTCATTTCTGCAGAACGTATCAGTTCGTTGAGGCCTCCAGTCCCTCAAGGAGAAGATGAAGAGCAGCAGCAGTGCCACTGCAGGGCCATGACTGCTCTGCGCCCAGCACTGGCACTGCTGCCCACAAATACCTTGCACAATGTAGGGCTGCACAGTACTACATGTTATGAAAGAAAAGAGAAAACAGAATCATAGAATGGTGTCCTAGTTTTAGCTGGGACAGAGTTCCCCCCCCCTGCCACAGGCAGGGACATCTTCCACTACATCAGGTTGCTCAATGCCTCATCCAACCTGGCCTTGAACACTTCCAGGGATGGAGCATCTACAACCACCGGCAGCTCCCAGCCCTGTGCCAGGCTGGCTCCATTCCCACTTTGTGGAACTGACATTGCAGAGATCTGTGCCGAAAGCCCGGCAGGGCCCAGGCTGGCCTGCAGCCGCCCCCTCCCTCCCTCTGCTGCAAAATCAGCTTCAAAGGATGGCAGTGCTTTTCTCTGTCTCTTTTCAATGCAGCACTTAGGGTTTGCCCGCTGCTTGGCAAGCTTGCCAGCTGCTCTCAAAGCTGTATCCGTCACGGAGGAAACTGCCTCAAAACTGAAGATGCAAAAACAGCCATGCTGCCTGCTCAGGGAGCAGCCCCCACAGCAGCAGGCAGGGCGGCAGGACCCGGAGGGCGGTGGGCAGGTGCTGGGAGGCTGGTCCTGCCCTGTGGGACCCCTGCCCATGGAGCACCGGGCAGGGGGGGGATCTGCTGGTGGCAGCCAGGGGCTCAGCGCTGGGCTTCCCTGCCCAAACACACCACGTTATTGCAATGCAGAGGTGCAAGTGCTTCAAGATGATGTTTCCTAAGGGTAGGGTAGGACCCCTCATTTATTTTTGATTAGCTGCAGGGACCCTGAGAGGGATTAGACACCAGGGAGGTAGAAACATCCTGGGGCATGGCAGGGGAGAGGGAGGACACCCCTCACCTGGACCCGCTCTGCCCCGGGAGCTGCCACCCATGCAGAAGGATGTCAGCAAAACCTTTCCTCACCTCAGACCAGCCTACCAGCACGCCACTTTTTTGCAGTTTCTGACAAACTCCTGCTTTAGCCTCTGCTCTCCAAATAAAGCCTCAGGTGCAGCTGAAACTCTCTTGGCTCTGGCCTCCAAAATGGCCTTTTAAAAACACGTGTGATACTGGGGAATCATAGGAGGAGTAAAACCAGTCCAAGCCTAAATATCACACTTTTTCACCCCTGAGAGCCCTATTTCACACAATGCAAACTAGTTTTCCCCACAGCACTCACTGATGCCAGTTACCCTGGGCTGCGTGGAGCAGCTCTCCAGCAAAGGGTGAGGGGATGGTCCTGTTCTGAGCAGCTCGGCCTCTGGAGATCCCTACAAACTACATTTCTTGGGCAGGAATTCCAGCTATCCAGGCTTAAGCTGCTGTAGCTTTCTGCATCCCCACGCTGCTCTGCACAGCCTCCAACCAACAGAGTACAACCCTTCCTCACTCAGCATCTCTTATCTTTCGGAGCAGCAGCCAGACGTTTCCTGTAAAACCTGTTATCCGGGGTCATTTCCCAAAGTTAATTACCGCTCTGGAAAGACGTGAGGGGCTGGGAGTACATGGGGAGAGCGTCAGGAAACGAAGGGGCAGCATGGCAAAGGAGGCAAAGTCAAGTCTTAAAAACATTCCCCCAAAATTATGATCTACCCATTGAACACTGAACCATCAGTGGCTGTTGGAGTGTCTCAGGAAAAGCCCTGAATATTTGAAGTCAATGTGATTTAACCCAAATAAGAAACTCTCAATTACATTGCTATTCCAGGGTCACACAGCAGTCGCAGCTTTGTAAATACAGTCTAGAAATTATGTAGGGTTAATACATTTTGATTACACATTAATTTTTTGAAATACATTCTTACCTTAAGAACACCTGAAATTCTGTGAGTACATAGAAAATCTGGGCCATGGGAACAACTACAACCACTTGAGCTAAAACAGCCAGTAAAGCACAACTTCTGAAATGACATCTTCGACAATTTCGTCATAAATCTGATTAAAATGATCCAAGTATTCTCCCAGTAGTCTGCTGTATCTGCTAATTTTTCATACGGAAGATTTTGCTTTAAAATACCCACTAACAAGAGTAACTTTCAATAGACGAAACTCGAGCACGTGCCTAGAGACAAACTACAGCTCTTGAAAGAAAGATAGCTTCTAGTTTTACAAAGCTTTGTTTTGTCCCAGCTACTTATTATCAGAACTTGCTTCCTGCAATTTTTGTAAATGCAGTTAAACATCTGCAGCTTCAAAGGCAACCTGCAGGACACTCAAATGTGTAAGGATAGCAAGTAATTTAAACTTAGTTTCAACCAAAAAACCCACCCCAAATCTCACCTTGATTCGGCTCCTTGTCTGAGTGTTTGCAGGGCTCAAAAAAGCCTCTCCATTTCTATATTAATAAAAGCTTTAACACGATCAATATTTTTTATCTGGAAAGCCACAAAGTCTATTGCTGCCATCTGGGATGGCTTTTTGGACAGTTAAAAAGTTGTCTGTTCCCATGTGATGCTGACTAACGTTGCTACGCCGGATCTGCGGATCAGTTCAGAGACGCTATTTCTCTCTGTACAATTTCTCTCACACTTGTTCCACAGGCAGGTTTATCAGAAACAATCTATGGGCACCACAGGATGGAGTCACTGCAGCATCTTTAGTGAAATAAATAGACAGTCAAATCACCGGTAACAATTAAAATCTACAAATAGTCCCAATGCGGCAGGTGGGTATAACATCTGGCTACCAAAAAACCAGACAGAACACATGAAAAACTAAACTTAAAACTGCACTTGTAAATACACACGGACATTTCTTTCAAAGGAACAAGTGTCGCTGGTCAGTAAGAAATGCTTCCTTTCACCAGTAGTGTTTTCCCTGAGAATCTAATTATTTAGAATAAAGGCATAAAATGAAAAAAATGTGCTTTCTTCCACTGAACTTTGCTTTTGGGACACACAGATTTAGTTCCTTATGACTGTACGAAATGAAGCACTGTTTTAAGTAATTACTGATTATTTATACAACCAGGAAAATGAACAAACTCTGTTTTCATATGACTTGGAACTAATCAAACCCACAGAATAAACAAACACAGGGTCTTTGGCGGGGGGCGGGAGGTGGTGTAGGGGGTGTGTGTGTGTGTGTGTGTACACACACGAGATCTGGCCAGGGACTATAGTGAAGAGGAATAAAATTTAAGATTATACAACATCCAGTGTAAGGTTTTTTTAATTCAGTTTATTAAATATTGCTTTTTGGGGACATGTTTACAACAAGCCCAAATAAATTGTTTAAGGATTCAAAGCAGTCATATTAAAATACAGCTTCAATATAAAGTTTGTCACAGTTTTACAGTATTCAAAAATGACAGACCTGCCTTAAAAAAAGACTATTACACCAAAACATAAGAAAAACAGAAAAACAAACAAGTTTGGCATTTTCATAATCTTTATAGTATAAAACAGAATATTAAATCTATTACCAGCAAGCTGATACTTCAATCTATTACCTAGTCTGAAGTGTCTCCCGTTAAAACACACTATACAACAGCACTATACAAAAGTCGTGGTGATAATCATTTGATGAAAGTGCATCCCTGAAAGTTTGCCAGTTTATTATAGTTAGCTCTTAAAAAAAAAAAAGTAAAATTAAAATGTCCTCTTTTAACTGAAGGCTTTACTATATATAATTTTTTTTTTTTTTTTTTGCTGTTTTGTCTCTTTCAGCCTTGTTTTAAAAGTGTCTAGGGACGCCCACCAGGGGGCAGCGTAAGATTAACCATCAAATCACGAACGGCTGCAAATATTGTGCATTCACCTGGAACAGGGAAAAAAGAGAGGTTAGCATCGCTCCCCGCTCCCCGCGCCGACTCCCACCGCGCCGCCAACACGGCTACGACCCCCGCAGCAGCAGGCAGGGGTGGGCCACACGCCACCACCGCCGCTCGGCAATCCCAGCTGCGCCTCCAAGGACTTTGGGATTCGTTCATGATTTGAACGGAAGTAGCTCCGGCTTTCCCAACAGGACCGCTCTCGTTGGTCATGGAATTGCCAAGCAGCGCTTAAGCTTCTAATTGCTTTTGAGTGTTGGGTCGGATCTCTACCAGAATTTAACGTACGCGGCCCTGCAGTCCGAATTTTTTCTGTACGTCATTAATTAAAAGCGCTACATCTTATAAAGAACAAAACCCCACTTGATCCCAAGTTCTGTTTGTATTGATGAAGAGCAGAAACGAAACATTTCAAAAGACTCAAGTCTGAAACAGCTGGAGGATGTTTTCTGTCCTAAGCCTAGTTTTGGAAATGTTTCTAATTCCAAGACTGGGCAAAAGTCAGAAATCTGCTTGTTTCAACCAAATTGCTCTGGCTCTACCCCTGCCATCTCAACTGCAAAATAAAATGCAGAGCAAATGGATCTTTGTTTCAAACAGCTGAGTTCTAATACAGAGAGGGGAAACCAGCCACAGCTGTCTCGAGTTTTGAATACCGGCATTTTTTGACAAAAACCACACACACATTCTGAAATAGCTTAAAAAAGTTAAAACCAACAGAATCAAAAGGGTTTAACTGAAATAACAGGAAGTGAAGCATTAGGTAGCTGTGACTTTCATCTACTGTTTCCTGGTAAGAGAACACAATTAATAGCCACTATCGTACCTTGGTCACTGTGGGCTGAATTTTTCCTGAATTTTTCAAGAAACATCAATTAGAAGACATTGAATTCTGTCGCTGAAGGAGCAACAGTGCGAGCAAAGAGATAAGAGCAGAGCCTGTTGGGATGCATTCATCCTAACTGCCAAACTTGGGATTCTCAAGGTTATTTTTGGCGAGTCATTATCACATCAAAGCTACAAGTCTGAGCTAAATACCAGCCACTGTATCACTGAAAATCAGACACTGAAAAATGCTTAGTCGTGAAATGCTTTAAGAAATATCACAGTCCCTTGAGCAACTTTTAAGGGTCACCTCCAGCATCTGTAGGGACTTTTCACTTCCTTACCAGATTGATGTCCACTACATAATGCAGATTGTAGACTTACAGCTCAGGTTTAACCTCGTTATTCCAGGGCATTGATTCCATCTCAGTTCATGTAACTATTTCCCCAAAATAATATATTTTTTCCCATAGAGGCATAGGTAAAGTGATCTCGGAAAGACAGCGTACTCACAATGAGTCAGCATTTTACTGTTAAACACAGAAGAATGTGTTTGTCCACAGATCTGAAAAGAAAACTCTTCCAGAAGAACTTACTTTTCAGGCACTACCATTTTATTAAAAGGAAAATTAAGCTGAATACAAAATACTTCCTCACAAGGGAGAAAGGTAAAAAAGATACAGCCAAAACGAGGCAACACTGATTACGGGTTACAATGAAAGTGCCAGTAATATCATACGTGCATGATGGGAAGCCCTGGTCCTTTCTGACTGAAACAGTGAAAAATTCGCTTAACCAAGCAAATTGCAATTAGTGCAGCAGAGGAGCTAACACAGGCAGGAAAATCCCGGCTACAGCACAATAGCATCAGAAGAGAAAGGATATGCACCTGGGATCTCCCATGAACTGCTGTTGTAAAAGAAGTCTCCCAACTATCTACTTTCATCTGTTGGCTCTCGTATCACCTTTCAATGGCAAAGAAAAGAAGGTATCTTGTTCTCTTTCATCAGATATAATAACGTGAGTTTTGACAGTAAGAACACAGGAAATTGCATTTCAAGTGTTTCGGGGAAGATCCTACTTTGGCTAGGCGGTGGTGGTGGTGGAAAAAATAATTAAATAAAATCCATACAGACTCGTTCTTTCTTTTAGAAGTCAGAGGAAAGACTACTGGACATTTCCTCTGCTCCGCTAGCTACAGTCGTCTTTGCCTGAATAAGGTCCTGCATGGGGCCACAAGCTCTTTTTATATGCATTTTTTTCCTTGTCTGTGCTCTGCTCCCTGTACCACATCCCTAAACTACTTCAAAATTTGTGTGACACACAAAAATCGTCTATCCTGATCTATCTAACAATCATCAGAAGACATCTCACCTGGGATACTCAAAAGCAGCTTTGACAATTACTCCCTATGCTGCAGTATTTTGCAGAGAGTTTACCTTAAAACACAACTTAGTGCAATAACAAACAGCAAAACAAGTATCTACCCTTCCCCATGAGGGGAACTCAGTGGGGAAGCACCTTCCAAAAGAAACACCTGAAGTTTAGTTAACGTACCTTGAAATAAAAGTGCTATACAAACAACAGTTCTGTACCGCATACAGAACTTACAGGCAACCCCACATGGCCTCAAAGCTATTCTCTCTTCTGTTTACCTACACTATTACTATATGTTCAACAGAAAATGCATGTTAATTTAAATCTCATCACAATTTTCAGAAATGTAAGCAGATCCACACCAATTTAAGATAAACATTGCTCATGTTCTAGCAATCGAAATAAACCATCAAGCATAGTTAAAATTACTGTATAACAACGAGATGAATGATTATACAGAATAGAAGTAGAATTCATCCTCCAGATCCACAACTTCAATCTATTTACTGGGTTACTGGAAAAAAGCTTTGTTCTTCATCATGTAACTACAGCAGACCTGAAAGTTATTGTTCTAATGAGCCATCTGCGTATTAGGACCCCAAACCTCTGCTTACAGACCACATGCTGCCCAAAGAACCTGCTATGCTGTTCAACGTTTCAGATATTAAAAAAATGAATAAATAAAAAGCATGACAAACAAGAGGGAAAGCAAAGCACAACGTTGCTCACGGTGCACTACCTACGGGCCAATCAACATTCAGAACGACCTACTTAGCTCAGACACTTCACAGCACGTTTGGTGGGCAGAGCTGTATGCGCCTCTGTTAGTGTACACACTGACAAAGGAGTATACAATCACTACAATTACTTTTTAATCATTCACAGCACGCGGACAAGTTCTGAAAACTATTTTAACATCCCTTTATATTCTACTGTTAAGCTCAATAACTTCATAATTATCCATGAAAACTGACACTTGACCATAGCATATTTCTTATGACTCATTCTGGGCCCGCTTGTTAAAAAGTGTGACTCCTGCTATATAGCAGGAGTTGGGCCAACAAGAGGTGCATACTGTCACTCGGGCAGAACAGCGACATACAGCCTGAATCATCAGTGTAACCTTCTGCTGTGCTGCCAGTACTTGCTATTAAGTTATGTATTGCCTGTCACACAAGAAGTTTGCGATCACTAAAGGAGTATGATAGAAACCAAGAAGAATTCAGACTTAAGAGAGGTTTAGTTTTACACTGGAGATTTGTCACAGATGTCTGGGTGAAGAGAATATATCTACTGGACATGTACAGTACCTGGTCGTGGTGAATTCAGTTCAGCAAACCTCTTTAGAATATTGCTAACCATCATTGGAGCGGCAACAGAAGAGTTCTGCTGCCTGGGAATGTCAGCCTGTTGCGTTGTACCCGAAGCCATATCATAAATAATAGGGACAATAATACTAACAGCTTCCTGCGGAACTGTTGTTTTCTGTGTTAGCTGGAGCTGTGGGAAAAAACAAAAAGTGTGTTGCAGTACAAATGACTCTGTACTTCAGCGCAACTTCCGATACAGTTAAACACTCTAGGCCTAAAGACAGCGTGTACTTCCACCCCCTCAGTTTTCAAACATCAGTTCTGTAACAGAGAAGTTATCAATCAGGTGTAGGCTATTTTCTTCTCAAAAGCACCCTACAGTGAGCATTACCTCAGAGACTACACGGACAGAGATTTGTTCTAAACATCTGACTCCCACTATCCTTTCTCAGCACCACTAATGGTGTATCACTTAATCTAGCTACTAAGTGCCTCAAAGAAGAACAAAACACACAGAGGTTGAGCATTCCAAGATACCCGCAGCCCAGAGGGAATTGAAGTTTATATATTGTCAATATCTCTCCAAGAACACAAAACATGAAGAGTTGCTGTGCTTTTATAGGAGGCAGAATAGGAATACTAACTGAACTCATTACAAAAGAGATGCATGAAAATCTGGGCTTCCAAATGGCACAACATTTTTAGCTATTACAGTTGTCAGATATAGCATGCTTATGTTTTGCTACTAACCCATGATGATTTCAAAGACATGCAGCCCACAAAATTTTAAAACAGATAACTCTACTTACAAAAAACAACATTTTGGATTTCAGCACAACAGCAGGTGTTCCTGGAGGCGCAATTGGCGGTGCACTGGGAGGAATTGTTAAACAAAACTGCACATTCCATTTCAGCTGACTTGCCTGATCAGGGAACTGTTTACAAAAAGCAGCACAGAGAAAGAACAGCAAAGGTCTCGTGTCAGTGACATACATGACTATGAACTAGGGAAGCATTAGAAAGTAGAGTGTGCCTCTGCAGCTAAACTTGCAGGTTTAGCATAAGTCAGAATACCTCTGAAAGAATTAAGCACAGGGTAAACAAGAACACGATCAGAAAGATTCCATCCAGCCTATGCATGTGCCTATTGTGCAGTAATGTGTCTGCAGTTTCTCAAAATCATCAGTTTAAAGGAGAAATTTTGGGAGTTTCCAGAAAGGCTAGTAGTAAAATGAAAACTTCTTTAACACTAAATAATCTATATATAAATTTAGAGTAATTTATGTGTTTACAGATGAAGATACAGCACCTTTGTTTTAAAAATATAATAACTGAAGTTGGGTGAACTAAATAGAATGGTTAACTTACCAGCTCAAGTTTCATGATGTGTACGCAGTCCCTGAGGATATGCGTTGGAGCCCCTAGTAATTTTGTGAAGGCTATTAGGGTGTTTGCTTTAAAAGGTGGTCCTGCAACCTAGAGAAAGACATTATTTAGATGACAGCTGTATCATTTAATATGGTAACCAGCATGCACAGCTGTTAATTTTATATCTTGCAGCCCTTACATATGCCAATGAAAGTCAGCAGTACCACTCAAAACACCTCTAGAGATTAAAAGCAACGCAGAAAAATTTAAACATCAACAATTTGAGTACATACCCTTGTTTCAAAGAACTTCTCCAAAACTTGTAACTCCTCCGATTTCCATTGTCCTGTATTTTCCGGTGTTACTTTCAGTTGCAAGGTCTGGTTGGTTTTGGGATTGAGAGCAACCCTGCACTTCAGTGCCTCCGTCTTAAACATAATTACACCTGGTTCATTGGAGTTTATTAACTGTAGCTGCATAAAAACAAGTATCACATTCAATGAGTCATTCGTTAAATAGCATGAACACAACACACACATTCACTCCCAAGACTGTAGTGACCAACCTGCCCTCTCTCCAGAAAGAAACACATGATATTTGTATACAGGCAAAATTGCCTTGAGAACGAAGCTTATGCAAGATTTGGCTTCGTTCTCTGTCACAGAATCAATGCCAAAGAAGTGAAAAGGCGCACAATGTCTGTCCCAAACCCTAAAGCAACATTCATGACTGAGAAGTTCAGTTATTGTCAACTAGTAACTAATTTCTGGGGCACTCCTGCTAAGTAGTGGCATTCACAGGAACCCTGTGGCTGTTCCAGTTAACTCCCAATGAACATGCTAAACTCACAGAAGCCAAGGCACTTGAAAGTCTGATCATAGTCTTTCTACCATATCAGTAATCAAATTTCACTGGATCTAACACAGCATTTCCACTTCCAATTTGCGAAGAAAAGATGCGGAGCTAAATGCTTTTTCTAAATTTTGACACTTTAGACAGCAAGACTCGGAAGTATATCACAAGTCCAACAGCAAATACTTATTATATTTGAAGCATTTCAGTTTGTGTCCAATTTGAAAGACACGGAGTACAGAAGCACAAAAAAGAACAGTTGTGAAGTCATACTCACAGATCAATATGAAAACAACCTAAGCCATACCGTTTCCTGTTGTATGATCCTCTGAAGATGCCTCCTCATAATAACTGATCCAAGGAATCGCTCGAGAGGAGAGCAAAGATAGCTGCCAGCTAGTCCTGGCACAAGCCCAGGGGTAGGAGAGGGCAACAGCAGAATATTCAAGGCACTGTGGGTGAGGATTGTAGGTATGGATGCAGCCCAAGAGCGCTGAGGTAGTTTACGAGGTGGAGGCATGCTAGTCGGCATTGCTTGGGAACCTATTGATACGGAAAAAGTACTTGCAGTAAGGAAGTGTTTAAGCTGAAATGTAAGCTATGTGTTCATTTTATTTGCTGTCACTAAATAAGCAACGAGTTCTCTGAGCCAAAGCTTAATCCTTATTTAAGAATTTGGCTGCCTACTGATAGACAACAGATAGACAAAGTCAAAGAACTACAAGTTTCGACCCTCCACTCATGCAAAGACTCTCAGTAACATTAAAATCCTATTCCCTTTTCCTGCAGCATGCCAGCAGATAGCAGGTTTGTACAACAAACTCAATGAGATGTAAAGATGGCTAAATCAGTCGTGCAAGAGCAGCATTACAACTCTGTGATGCGAAAAGTTAGTATTTGGGTAGGCAAATACGCCTATCATTGCTTTCATATTAGATAATTTTCTCGGTCGCAGAGCTCAATAGTTTAAGACTAGTTTCTGCAGTGCAACAAGAGGTATCAATCCTGCTGAAAAAAAATTATGCTGTATGATTTAACTAGTCTTCCAATTTGTTATAGAAGATTTGAACTAAGACAGAATAAAGGCTTCATTTCCTTAGATATTTTACTGCACGAGGCCGGTGAGGACTGGCTGACAGACAAAACTACCAAAGAGAACAGAACTAGAAATGTTAAACATGAGTGTTTCACAGCCATAACACTGATAAAGAAGCCTACTTGTTCCAGCTCGTGGGGAATGAGAGGCATCTGGGACAGGTGAATGAAGGGAAGGGTTGGCTGGTGACATTCCAGGCATCCGTGCTGCTGGTGATGGACCAGAGACCTGGGGAGATCCTGGCCAGTTCCCTGCACGCTGACTGGGTGACATCATGGTGTATGGTGAGCTTGGGTCTAGAGTACCTACAGATGTTACAAGACCGTTGTTATTTTTTTAAAAAACGTACAAGGTTTTCTAATCTAGAAATCTAAAAAAGTCTTCCCAAAATTTGTAAAGCATGAAAATGTCTGCAAGCTTTTAGACTACATTTTACAACCATACAGAAAACATAATGGGGCAGAGGGGGGAATCAAGGTACAGAATCAAGGGTTTTCTGGCTGTATTTCTTAAAGAGTAAAATAAAATTGAACATTAAGGCAAATCACCATGTTTAACATGTAACGGGGTCTAAACTAAAAAGAGCTCTTGACTATAGACTTGGACTTCTGCCACTCCTTAGCAAATGAAGGCCTCAGCTGGACTGTTCCTCATCTAACTCAGTATCTTGCAGTTATCTCTGCAAAAGTATCTTTGGTTTTGTATTCCGCTATAAAGACTGATGTGAACAAGCATCTTAAACTGTCTGTTGTATATTTATCTCACTTTATTCATCTTGACAGTTAAACTGGTGTGCTAAAACTACAGTCTGAGCTGTTAATTTATTGTGATCTATGGAATGGTTTCCAACACACTGTGATTACAACAAACAATTGTTTTGGCAGCTTTCCAAAAAAACTTAATAAAGGAAACAACCAAAAGGCATGTTGTTCGCATACAGGTATGTCAAACCAGCAAGACTGACAACATTTTCAAATTTTAAGTATTTTAATTTCTAACCCGTTCCAGTTATTTTTCCAGGAAAAGTAAGCAGTGAAAATACATTAACTAATCTAATAAGAGACAATGCTCATTAAAAGCTGCAGCCATCGCTCTGCTATAAGATCACATGGAATTTCCCCACATTAGTAAGCAGGAAAGAGTGACTGATAGTTAATTTTTAAAACATTAGGAACACCTCAACATGCCATGCAGCTACTTTTGACTACTGTTAAGAGTTACATCTGCATGTATGAAAACAGCTACTTAAGCCAACTACAAACCACAAATTTTTCCTAATTAACTTAGGTCTGCTCTGGAAGACTTAATTTCAAAAAGCAAATGTGCTCTCTCTCTCTCACTATACATACACCTGCCAGTAAAGAACTCACCATGTGGGCTGGCAAAGTTAGCTGTTTGTCCTATTGTGATTCCAAGAGAGGAAGGTGAAGGAGTTGGACCAAAGGATGCTGGTGATGGTGCTCTTAAAGCTCCGCTAGGTGAGCTCGCGGCATGCAAATTTCCTAATCAAAGACATCACATCACTCAACATACACATTTCCCATTCTCCTGTTACCACTTTTTCTATCAATCAAACTGCTACAGCTATCTCCTTTTTATGGAGACAGTAAACAAGACTCATGAGAATTTTTTTTTGCATTCAAAGGCTTTATTTCATACATTCCCTTTTCTCCTTTAATTCTCTTCCCCATTCCCTGGGGGTGGGTGAGGGTGAGCGAGCGGCTGTGTGGAGTTTAGTTGCCGGCCAGCCTAAACCACGACAGTCTTATTTTCCAGATTGATTCACCACACAGAGGAAACTTTCCAAGATATTTGGCTTGAAGAACGGCATTTCCCCCCTGCCCAGCCCCTTCCCAGATTTCAATAATTTCAGCTGTTGTGTTGTAACAGCTGTGAGCAGAATGCAGAGCTTTTGTGATGAAAAGCTTTTCTGAAGAAACAGGTATTTAAATTAACAGATTCTAATCTGAGCAAGTTGCAAGCCCTATGAATGAGACAGTCCCAAATATTACACAGCTAAAGATGACAGCTTCACTGACTGTGTTGGGTTTTTTTTTAGCTTCAAAACATACTTTCCAAAACATGCATGGCAGGACTTTGCTTTGCTGTTTTTCCACAATATAAGGTGCATTCTCTTGGCTAACTTGGAGCTAAACACAGCTCAAACGACAGAAAAACCATGCATGCACAAAGAGCTCTGTGTCAATTTTTCCAGCACACGATTAGCAGGCAAACTCTCAGCCATCTTACCTGGTGACTGTGTGTGCATCATAGATGGAGATGGTGTCACCGTGTTGTGATAGGACGTGGGTGGTGAAGTAAGAGGATACGCTCCCGATGCTCCCGCCTGTTTTGCAAATGGCTGAAATTGTCAACACAGGACAGTGAAAATTTCTGATCGTTTTCTACTAAAACTGAAGTTAAGTATGTGCAGGAGAATACTAATAGTGCCCACCTATGAAACCTTATAGGTCCATCAACATAATTGTTTGATTCTCTGTATCACTTTGTTCAGTCCTCGCTATTTTTTTCAGTGACTCTTTGCAGTTTCTCCTCATGACCTAACTCTGCACCTCATTCCTTTTTATCTGCCACCTTATAACTGCGAAGCCTCCTGACTCTCCCTCCCATCTTTTATCTTAAACAGTTGTATTCCCTCCCTCAGTCTTTTGCTTTTAAGGTAGCAAGTCTCATGTGACCTTCCAAAGCTGCTGTTCATATGCTATGGGCTGTTTACACTGGAATGAAAAATGGCAAAATAAATTAATATGTTTTGCCTCAAGAGGAATTCCACAGTAGAGCAGTTTTATAGTCTCCCCCTTTCCGTTTTTTACTGCTAATCCTTTTAAACCTAAGTTCTTAGAAACCTACAGTTGTGGAAGGCAATAAACATTTCTTATTTTGCCTGGAGGTTACCTGTTGTTGTGGTTGCTGCGGTGGCTGCTGGGGTTGAAGCTGCGATATCAAAGAATCCATCATGTCTCCTCCAATAGGAGAAGGTGGGTTATCGTCTTCATTTACCGATCGTCTTCGTGCATCCTGATTGCTGTCAACAAACATGTTCAGGAATGTCTGTGGAAAAATCAGTTTTGTTAGCAGTTCCTCCATTTACATTTTATTACATAAATGAGCACAGTTATTTGCTAAGCTTTAATACTATCTTTATCAGCTACAGCATGTAAGAAACAGGCAGGTCTCTAGAACTAACTAGTAGTGGGCATTCATTGTATACAGTAAGAATAGTTGGCAAAACGTACCAATTCATAAACAGAGCTTCTCAGTGGATATTTAAGCTTAATTTCCTTCTTCTTTTTACAAAGGAGTCTTGCATTGCCACCAAACAAGAAACCTTGCTCATTAACAGGAAATATCTCTAGTTAATTGAAATGCTAACATTTTTCTTTTTTCCTTAAAAATAAGGTAAAGCCCACACCTGGAACTAGCTGTTCCAGAACAACTCATTAGTATCCGGAACGTACTAGGCTGTTGCATCACACCTACAACTGCCCTGTTTGGGTAAGAATGCCCAGGTTAACTCTTCCACAGCATTCTCTTGTACCCAGAGGAATTTGCCAGCCCTCTTGAATTACTTCCTCCTTTGCCCTCCCAGTTTCCTTCTCTTACACTTTTCCACTGGTATCTACAATTCTCTTCCTCTTCCCATTAGCGTTCCATTTAGAATTCGTGAAAGAGGTAGATGTTCAGGATCAGCTAAATGCAGTACCAGAGAATCAGTGTTCAGCTGCAATTGTCAGAAGGAAAAATTATCAAACTATCCTGTTTCACAATGGGTGCCACTTTCCAGTATTTCAGTATAACTAGCACTGGTACAAGCTGCCCTCAGCTAAGGTATTCCGTCAGAGTGTGCAGAGATTCATTTTTCAGGAAGAGCAAACTAGCATTGTATTCGGAAGCAGAGCCACAGGCTCCTGCCACACACTGATGGAATCTGTTTTAAAGAGAAGTTTCTGTCTAGATTCATCTGACACGGGGCATTTCTTCATCTGCAACATATGAGCACTGTCCTGCCACACAACATAGTTTGTAAGGAGCAGTTGTTGTTAATCCTGGAGAACACATTTAGCCTGGTCACAAAACTTCAGCAAGTTTTAACAAAAAGACGCCTGAAGTAGCCTCTATGTTACCTTATTACATAGACAGGAAAAAAACCCCTGGAACTTCATGATAGTTTTCATAAAGGAAAGGTTTTAATTCAAACTAATTAACAAGTCTACTTATAAACCAGAAAATTCTGTGCTCAAAATTTTGGAAGGATCGCAGCTCTTCACAAAAAGTCACAAAACTCTTCACCTCAGATCCATACTTCAAGTTAGAAGCTCACTTGTTTACAAAATGCCAGAAAACAGAGAAACAGTCACCTTCAATCCAGGTGCAGGGTAAAAACCTTCAACTATTTTGCTGTTGTCAAAGAGACTGTACGCCCCATCACGTATCGCCACAACACCACGACTCCGGCAGTAGATGTCAATGCAGTACATATTCCTAAAAGCCAGCCTGATGTGCGTGGGTGACTGCGGCAGGATTGAGAAACACTGATAGGCAGTGTTGGTGCGTTGAGTCAGACCCAGCATGGGCACAGTTGGAAGTTTGTTGATGGCATTTAATGGAGCCTGAGTGTCAAACAAAACCTGAAAGAGAACAGATATTGAGAGACTGGGTAGCTTACCTTCAAGCAAAGGTCAGACAAAACGGGGCATAGGGGGGATATAATCTTCCCCAAGCCGCCTTCTGCCAATGAGATCCATAAACAATCGTAAGACACACACATGTAATTTTGAAGACAACAGTTTAATCAGAATTCAGCTCTTAATTATCTTGCTCTGTTCTTGAGAGTTGTTTTTAAAATGTTACCTGTAACAACTGCACCACATTTGGTGTTTTATTAAACATCTCCTGGAGCTGGTGCAGAATCGTGTTGTGACAGTTACTGCAACCTGAGTTTGGGCCAACAGTTCCCAGTGAAATATGGAACTTCTGGAGTATGGAGTTCCACTGAATGCTGATCTGCAACGTCAAGAACATAAAATGGTCTTGGAAACTAGAACAACTACGAGGTTATAACAAGAAAGCTGGTCTGCATTAATATTTTTTGCCAGTTTTCACCAAACCTCAACAGATTCCTCTTACCTTCCTTAAAAGTTGCTGAGGTTGTGGGGAAAAAAAAAAAAAAAGCTCTGTTAGCTTTAACACCCATTTAGCTATCTGGATTGTTGGCAACCACAAAACTGAGGAATTATTTTAGCAAGTTAATCAAAAAGAAAAAAGCCTTTCCTGCCAAAGGTGAGACAGAGAAAATTAAACTCCAGAGATTCATGCTGTAGAGAACTGATTAATGAGTTACTGGAGGTGGACTGGTTTTCCCAGTCATATCACACAAAAACGAGAACTGGACATGCTAACATGTACGGAAGTGACATGCAAAATCCACACTGCTACTCTTGCTACTTATTAACTGTCCCAATAAAATGCACATAGAAATACTCTTAAAAATTCAGCTTAGAACATGAACACAAAACCCTTCCATGAAGTAAATTTCAAGTACATCATCTACTTTGCATCAGTTCCACACAAAAATATATTCTTAGTCTGTACTAAATGTTCACTTACTTCCTCCTCTACCTTGCATTTAAGGTAAGGGAGTGAGCAAGTACTCAGTCAGTTTTCAAAGTATTTAAGCTGTAAATTCAAATACTACCGAGTAAGCTAGAGTTCTGAACAAGGGAACAGCACTGCTACAAAATAACTAAGGACTATTTGAAAGCACAGAACTGCATTTAAAATTTTGTTAAAGAGTCCTTTATTCTGAGGCAGGATTAGGCACTCAGCTTACATATATCCATATATTCCAGCACAGCAGTGACTAGTAGCAACACTTACCGTCAGTTTGTCAGATAAAGGCTGCCACAACAGCTTTCATCAATCAGGAGCACACAACTGTCCCTCCCAGAATTTAAAGCATCTTACACAAATTCTCAAAAATTCTGAACATCTAGTAACCTAGCAAATTAGCAATCTGGCACCCTCTATTTCTTTTTTTTTTTTTTTTTCCTACATTCATCAATATTAATTCCACAATAATATAATACAAGGAAATATTTTGTAGCACAATTCTGAGACTCTAAGCCTACCCATACTGTTTTCAAACATACATTTTAAGTGGACTTAGGAGTTACTTACTGAGCTCCCCTTGGTAGTTCCATAACAAAGGATAAGTTTTCGGTAATTGTAGATACGAACTTCTGAAAAAATGTTTAAGTGGTTGGGTATGTCTTCGAAGAGAGGAGGGAAAAGAGTTACAGTGAGAAAACCATAGTAATCTGTAAACACATAATTTTAACAAAAAGGAGGTGATTTCTGTACCTGGTAAGGATCGTGCAAACTCCAGGACACATTCATACAGTCGAGCAATACTGTTCCAGTCATTAAGGAACATCTCAACAACTTTGCGACCTCCAACTGGTTCAGATAACTGGTTTTCATATGTCAGGTAAACATGTCGGGTTGGTCCTGTAGAGTTAGAAGATGGTAAATACTGATTAAATTAGTGATTCCTAAACTGTGGTTTACAGACTATGACTGAACTGTGGCAAGTGACCAGGAAGCATATTTAAATAATGAAAGTACATCAACTCAGCAGTCAAAGTTTGATTCAAGTTTCGACTGGGACAGTTAGCTTTTCTTTTTAGCAGCAAGAATAGCTCTGTGTTCTGGATTTAGTCTGAGATTTGTTATGAGAAGAATGCTGATAGCACACTGATGTTTATAGTTGGCACTGAGACCTCAAGGACCTTTCAGCTTCCCATGTTTTGCCAGTGTGCAGAAGCACAACAGGCTGGGGGGAGCATGGCTGGGGCAAAGGGCCCACAACTCCCCTTACGATTTGAACTTAGATTTAGGATTGAGGGCCAAACTGGCCAAAGGAGTATTCCATATCATGCTGCATCATGCTCAGCATATAGATGAGGGTTGATCAGGAAGTGGGGATCTCTCTTCTGAGAACTCTTGGTTTCTCGGACTTGTCCCCCTCTCTCTCTCTCCCCTCCTCTCCCTTTTTAGGCCTCTCGCTCGTCTGGGACTGTGGTGTCAGGACTTAGCTGTTTTGGGATCACTTGCCGGGACAGGATAGGTGTTGGTCACCGAGTGGTGAGCAATTACATTGAGCATCACTTGTTTGTATATA